AACCTCAAGAGACAAAGCAAGCATCAGAACCAGACTCAGATATGACACAGTTTTAGAACTGTCCCACCAGGAATTTAAACTATCTATAATTAATATGTTAAAGGCTAGAATGGGAAAAGCAGACAACATGCAAGATCGTATGGGTGATATAAACAGAGAGTGGAAAGCTTTAAAAATGAATCGAAAGGAAATGTTAAAAATTTAAAATGGCCTCATTAATAGATTGGGCATGGCCAAGGAAATAAACTTGAAGACGTATCCATAGAAATTTCCCAAAATGCAATGCAAAAAGAAAAAAAAAGAGCGGAATATCCAAGATCATGTGATGGTTTGAAAAGATGTAACATATGAGTAATTGGGAGAAAAAGAAAGAGAGAATGAAGCAAATGAAATATTTGAAGTAGCCGGGCGCGGTGGCTCACGCCTGTAATCCCAGCACTTTGGGAGGCCGAGGCGGGTGGATCACGAGGTCAAGAGATCGAGACCATCCTGGTCAACATGGTGAAACCCCGTCTCTACTAAAAATACAAAAACATTAGCTGGGCATGGTGGCGCGTGCCAGTAATCCCAGCTACTGAGGAGGTTGAGGCAGGAGAATTGCCCGAACCCAGGAGGCGGAGGTTGCGGTGAGCCGAGATCGCGCCATTGCACTCCAGCCTGGGTAACAAGAGTGAAACTCCGTCTCAAAAAAAAAAAAAAAAAAAAAAATTTGAAGTAAAAATAGATGAAAGTTTTTCAAAATGAATGACAGATGCCAAAGAACAGATAAGTAAATTACAATATGTTAAGGGAAGGCAGGGAGACATTGGGAATATCCTGTTATAATACAGCCACACTGCCCATGAAGCGTGCTGCAGGGATGCTCAATCTTTTGGCTTCCATGGGCCACATTAGAAGAACTGTTTTGGGCTGCACATTAAATACACTAACAATAGCTGATGAGCTAAAAAAAAAAAAAAAGAGGCAAAAAAAAAAATCTCACAATGTTTTAAGAAAGTTTACAAATTTGTGTTGGGCTGCATTCAAAGCCATCCTGGGCTGCGTGCCACTCACAGACTCTAGATTGGACAAGCTTGGTATAGTGTTACTTGAAAGGGATTTAGATTAGTTGCATATGCATAGTGCAAACACCAGGGAAACCAGTAAAGAAATTTTGAAAAGAACTATGATTGATATGCTAAGAAAGAAGAGGAAGTAAAACCATATAAAATTTTCAATGAACCAGAGAAAGCAGAAAAAGAGGAGAAGGGAAAAAAGAAACAAATAATGAGTGCAAGGAAAACAGTTAAACAAATAAAGGGATAAAATAATTGGAGTGAAGCCATTCAACAGTCATCTATTCAGCAATATAAAGAATCAACTATTGATACAGGTAACAACATGGCTATATCTCAAAATAATAATGCTGAGTGAAAGGAGCCAGATTTCCCCAAAAGAACCTATACTTAATTTTTCCATGTATATAAAATTCTACAAAATTTGAACCAATCTAGAGAAACAGAAAGCAGAATCAGTAGAGCCCTGGAGAATGCTTAGCTAAGCATTTTGTTATGGACCTATAAGGACTATGGCATTAACTTGATGGGATTTTTCTATGTGCATGTACAGAATAGTAAAACTTGGGTTTGAAAACACCATGGGCCGTGCATCTGTTTTAGCTGTTAAACTCAAAAGCCTGGAGGCAGAACAGTTTCTTGCATGCCATGGCTAAACTAAGTCCTGGGAATGAATATGGAGAGAATGTGAATTGTTGAGATGTGTATAAAAGGAAATTAGACTCAAAAGAAATTATCTTCTGGGAATATTTGAGCCATATTGAAGCTAGTATTTTAGGTGTAGAATACATTATCTTTGTAAAACCAGCTACCAATGCAGTGATTTAAAAATTTTTTACTCCACTGATGCTATTTAAACTGGCATATTCTGTTTGTTGTGTAGGTCTTTCCTTTGAATATGTTCAGATATTTAAACCACAAAGAGGCAAGATCATGCCATATCATTCATGGAGAAGATGTGAGTAATAAAGCTTGATGAGAAGAAACGTGAGAATTTGTAAAAGCAGTTTTCTGTAACCAACATGCTGTTGCCATGCACTCCCAACTTCATTATTACTGGAAAAAAAATTCCCTTTTTTAATCTAAAATATTTTTGGCACCTTGTGCTCTCAGATAAGCATATTAAGTTACTTTTCAATGTGAATCTTCAGTGCAATCTAATATTAGCAAAGATCTTCAAGAACATAGGGTTCCAGCATTAGATTGATCTTTAGTTGAGTTAGTCTAGTTACAGAGGTAGAGCCAATGGACAAAACACTTGAGGGATCCACTAGAGGGCAGCAAAATGTAAATGAAATTTAAATTTGCTCCCAGAAAGGCTAATGTTATCAAAAATATTTGAATTGCAAATAAGATTTCTTGAATGCAAAAAAACTCAAATTAGATTAGGGATGTACAGTGTTTCTCTTTTCCTGGAATTAGTAGTCAAAATGACATGAGATGGAAGAGCAAAATGAAAATCAAATAGGTTCTAGTCTCAACTCTTTTTACTGATTGTGTGATTTGGAGCAACCTAGAATTTGCTTCTCTGGTCCACTTCCATGATACAGATTTGCACAAAATGATTATTAAAGTTCTTTTCAACTATAAAATTTTATGGTTTTATTATTTATTATTCTATCTAAGCCCCTTTAAAATCTTTTTGATTAGACTCTCAGATTATTTGATCAAACCACAACTTGCCATTAATGGAGTGTCTGTTTGGAAATCACCACCACTATTTCATAAAAAATTTAGATCCCTCAAATGCATTGATTTACTTTTTTGAAAAAAAATCTTCTTAATAAAATGACATGTATATAATGTAGTGATAATAGTTATTGCAACATCTTCTGGAAAAAAAACTTGTGCTATTTAATCTATCAATGAATTTTTTTATTTTTAAAATGGAAAAATTAAAACCCACAATGATACTATACATAGCTAAGGGTTATTTTCACTCTCCATTCATTTTCCTTTTAAAATGCTACATATGTGAATTCATTAGTAGTTACCCTACCAAAATTCCAAAATCATGAAGATGGTTATACATAAAAAATGAATGTTGGCTTGAGGGCCAAGGAAATATTGACTAATAATAGAAAAGCACATGTTAGATCTGAACTACTGTACGTCATCATCATTTGGTCAACCACTGCAAGCTTCTGGATGTGGCTGATTTTTATAGAGTCACAGAATTCACAGTATTCTTCACAGTTGTTCAATGGTCATCATTATAAATACACATCACAATAACCCTTATTTGTGACTGAAACAGAAAATCTTCTTTTTTTCTTCGAACTTTGCATAATATTTATTTTCGTCAAACTCTTTTCTAAATAACACTTTTAATGAACATGAATGGATAAAACTGTGAACAATTTTAATAAAAGCAGAAACTGGCCAGGCATGGTGGCTCACGCCCATAATCCTAGCCCTTTGGGAAGCCAAGGTGGGATGATAGCTTGAGTTGGGTGGTAGAGGGTGCAGTGAGCTATGACGGCACCACTGCACTGCAGCCTGGGTGACAAGTGAGGTCTTGTTTCTAAAAGATAAAATGAAATAAAGCAGAAACCATTTCTGAATCCACACTGATAATAGAGTCATATCTAACACCATGCTGTATATTTAAATATTTTCAAATTTTTAACCTTCATTTAGGATGCATTTTCTATTTGCATATAAAAAAGGAAGAAAAATACCTTGCTGGCAGGGAATTCAAGGGATGAAGGAAAATCATCCTTTTAAAACAGAATTGTTAAATCTAGAATTCTTCTCAGAGGCCAGAGGTAAAACCCTGTTCCAGCAGATTCGCTTACCTGGTTACAATAAGGCTGACACCCATTTCTATGGTTCTGAAGCCAGTTAGCTTCCTCGTCAGACTCTTAGACCCATCAGCTCATCACAATGCCTGAAGTTATTAGCACGAGATGATAAATTATCCATTTCAGTCAATTTGCTTTTTCACCAAAAGCAGGGTAAAGAATGCAAGGAGACATCAACTTCAGAGTCAACAATTTCACAAAGAAATCGCACCATCTCGCAACTTTAATAGCGAGCTGTTTAGACACTGCAGTATTACCGATACCACTTACTTATATAAGAGTAATGAGTGAAATACGGATTGTCTAGGTTCAAATTCTGACTCTGATCTTTATTATGCGCCTCAAAATCCTCGTCTGTAAATGGGCATAGCAGTGCCTCCTTTTGGGAGTTAAGACATAAATTAAGACTTGTAAAACTAGTTATTATTATTGCACTTATTTGCAGACAGGGTCTCACTCCGGTTGCCCAGGTTGGAGTGCAGTGGCGGGATCTCGATTCACTGCAGCCTCGACCTTCCAGGCTCAGGTGATCCTTCTGTCTCAGCCCCGGAGTAGCTGGAACTACTACTAGGTGCGCGCCAACATGCCCGGCTAAATTTTGTATCTTTTTTTTTTATGGAGACGCGGTCTTGGCATGTTGCCCAACCTGATCTCCAACTCCTGGGCTCAAGCGATCTGCTTGCCTCAGCCTCCCAAAGTGCCAGGATTACAGGCATGAACCGCTGCGCCTAGCTTATTATAATTATTATTTAAGCTTAGAAAATGGTTTCATTTTCTCCAATGCTTTTCCAGTAAGACATAGCTAGGAGTATCAGACTGGCGTTCTAACTAATAATTCACTGTTGATCTTGAACAAGTCACTTCACCTTTATTGGCCTCATTTTCTTATCTGGGGTCTTAAACAAAATGCTTCAAAAGTAAATGCTCCAAGGTGGTTCGATGCATGTTGTGGAATGCACCAATTTTAAAATAAGATGATTGGAGCAAATAGATCGCGAAGACACTTTCACACCATTCCACTGCACACCATTCCATTTGCTGAAAAGAACTCTGGAGGTATCTATGGAAAATATCATATCTTTTGCGGGGATACTTTTAATCTAGAGTCATCTCTACCAGTGTTGAAATGAAACAGGCCTGATGAGAACAACAAATACACGTTTATTTTATTCAAGGCAGCTGTCAGTGTCGGGAGCGCCCGGGGGAAGGCCGGGCCCTCAGAGCAGCAGGAGGGCGCCCAGAGGCAGCTCGCCCTGGCCCAGCAGGCGGCCCCGCTCCCGGCCGCGGCCCTCGTCCCGAGCCTTCACACGAACCGTCAGGCGGCGCACCTCGTCCTCCGAGAGGCCGTCGAAGCAGAAGTCCTGGTCCAAGGCGGCCTTGCGGCTGCGCCCCACGACGGCGCTGCACTGCCGGTGCGCGGTGCCCGGCGGCCGTAGCACGAGGCTGAGGCGGCAGCGGACCGCACGGGGCACGGGGGCGCCTCCGGCCAGGCCCTCAGCGCGGAGCAGCCGGAGGCGGAGGCGCCCGGTTCCCGGACAGTACTCGGCGGCCAGGCGCAGCGCGTCGCCGGCGCGGCCCAGAGCCACGGTGCCCTCGGCCTCCAGGCGCTCGGGAAGCGGGGCGCGGGCCGACGGGGGGCTGGCGGAAGGGGCCCGGGCCGGGGACTGGGAGCCTGCGCGGCGCTCCTCGTCCTCATTCCCGCTGGAGACGGAGCGGGCGCGGGCCCGGCGGCGACTCCTTCCCGCCCGCAGCGCGCGGCTCAGCAGCCTGTTGGGGGCGCGCAGGAGGCGGCAGCCGCGGGGCTGTGGGGCGAGAGCGTCCTGGGGCGGGCGGGGACCACCGGGGGCCGCCGGGGTGGCCGGGAGCGGAGCTCGCGGGCCGCGCATTGTCCCCAGGGGGGCGTCCGGGCTGCCGCCGCCGCCGTAGGTGTGAGCCCGGGGCCAGGGCGCCGGCGGGCCCCCGAGCAGGAGCGACTCCTTGCGGCGCGTGTGCGGGCTCTCCAGCAGCGCGCAGAAGCCGTAGGCGGTGCGCACACGCGGCAGATGCGGGAGCGACAGCGCGGCCTGCGAGCGCGGGTCCCAGTCCGTGTGGCCCGCGCCTTCGTCTCTCCCTGCTTCTTCACTCCAAGAATTCCGGAGAGCTGCCAAGGCCAGGCGGGGCTCGAGCCGCGGCGGGATGCAGAACTCGGGGATGCGGTCCGGGGTGAGCACGTTTGCGCACCCGGCGGTGGTGAGAGACCTGGCTCCGCGGGCCCGACCCGGGAGAAGCCAGTCCCCGCCCCGCCGAAGGCGCTCAGGGCCCAAGCGGAGTCGCTCCAGGCACCACATCTGGCCACCCTCTGCTGGAGCCTGTCTGCCTGCAAAGCACAAAGGTTCAAGGATTGTCAGAGCGAGCCCCGCAGGGTGCAGAAATTCCAGTCCCTTTTTTTCTATTAATACTTTCGGGGTGTTTCTTCCTGCCTTTCCCGAAACAAGGCAAACTGCTCTGCATGCCGCTATTGCAGACTATTTTTCAGTGATCGAAAAAGAGTTGTTTTTCTCTTGTCCTGTCTCAACTCTACTGTAATACACACTTCAGAGCTTGTTTTATTCTCTATCCGCCCTCGCTGGCCTAAGGCAGAGGTTCACAAAATGCTGGATTGTAACTTCAGTCGCTCTGTTCTCTGTGCCAACGATTGCCTTTCTATGCGCTATCGTTTTTGACTCTCTGGAGTATAGCAGTCTAGTCCTCAGCTAGAATTAGAGTAATTATTAGTCCTTCCAGGAATACTGTGGCTTGTTCTCCCCTTGCAGAGGCAAAGAGCTAAATCCCCCGGGGAATTTAGCAAGCTGACAGGTCTCTTCTAAAGTACCTGGAGTCCTGCTCAGATGGGTCTCTGCGCCTTTCTGCCTGGTACACCGACGAAGAGAGGAGACGTGCTTAGCCGCTGAGAAATTCAAAGCGCGCGCGGTGGGGTTCAGCACAAGTGCTCAAGGACAGCCGGCCTGAGCTTTTATGCCTGCTGCTGGGAGCGCTTGGCAGTGGGCCGAACAGAGGGGCGCTGCCTGGTAACCTGACGCCAGGCCCTCCTCTCTCCCTCCGCCACGTGGCTGGATTTGCTGAGCAAGGTCTGGAGACCCAGTTCTTTCTCTCTCCGGCTTCAGGTGGAGGTGTTTTCCTCGGAAACCCTGAGCAGGTTTCTGTTTCCTCACATGCAAAATGGTGTTAAGTCTCTACTATACCGCAGAGTCACTGTGAGGATTGACGGGTGTAATGAATGTGAACGTGTATTAGTACTCTACATCCACCATTAAAATGAGGACAAGTCCGGTTTGTCTTATTTTTGCCTAATAACCCTTCCCGAAATCCAGCTGCCAGTTGCCCAGCTTTCAAAGTTCTTTACTTGCTTTCCGGTTTTCGGTTCTGATTTTAGATGTTCTTCTCTGGTTATAAACCACTCGGGTTCAGGGGGAACGTTTCATATCTTGATCACGGTGGAGTTACAGAGGTGTATCCATCTGTAAAAAAAAAAATCAACTAGTGAACACTTAAGATTAGAGCACTTTATTGTGTGTATGTTATACATCAATTGAAAAAACGCAACCTACTTCTTAAGCCATGTGTGCTGATTTTTTTAATTGCAAAATGTACACTATCATGTATCTGGGCAGTTGGAATCGCCCTTTCGAGGCGCCCTGACCACATCTGACGTTTCTAGGCTGTGCCCACCAGAGAGATCCTTTTCCTTCCTTTTGAAAACTAACCTGTGTTCATTTTGTAAGATAGTTGCTTCCACTTAGCTCCGGCTGAAAGAGATCTGAGGCATTTTGTTCAGCATTTGGGTGTATGATATTTCTGCCTAATATCCTGCCTTGCAAATTATTCACTTATCTAAATAATGTTTAATGAATTAAATTGAATTCATGCAAAAGTGTTTTCAGGATAGGGCATGTGCATTTTGTTTCCAGGACACACAGGCACTGTGCTAGATGATTTATGGATCGTCTGTAGAACTGTCACAGAAACCCTGCCTATTCAGATTATCCTTATTTTATAGATGAAAACTAAGACTCAGAAATCAAGTACCTTATCCAACGTCACATAATGATGGGAAATAGAGCAAATAATACCTCCTAATGGGTATAAATGAGCTGTTTTTGGAATTAATATAATAATGTAAAATATTTTACACCATGCCTATAACATGGTAAGTGCTAAATACATAGAAGTGATTATTAATAAAGAGAGAAGGAAATTTGTAAAGGATAGTGGTTAAGAAAACTGGATCTGAAATCAGATCTACTGTTAATGCCAGAATGGTGGCTGTGTGACCTTGAGCAAGTTACTTAACCTTTCTAAGCCACAGTATCAAATTTAAAATTCTTAATAGTGTCAACCTATAGGGTTATCATGAGTATAAAGATAATGCATATGAAGAGGTTAGCATAGCACCTGATATGCACAATGTCACATATAATATTATTATTACAGAAGAGAGTAAATGCTCATTAGTTCATTCATTCAAAGCAATATGTACTGCGTGAGTGTTTTCTGGGTTCCAGCCACCATGCTAGGCAAGTGGATACAAGTTGGCTGTACAAGATCATATCAGCTATGTAAATCCATAAATGATGGAATTAAATGATAAGAGTAAAATATTTGAATTCCATCTAGGTGAGGCAGACATGAGAAGAGGCTACTGAACATTACTTAGGTTTTCTGGTTTTTTTTTTAGACTGGGTCTCACTCTGTTGCCCAGGCTGAAGTACAGTGGTACAATCTTGGCTCTTGGTTCACTGCAACCTCTGCTTCCCAGGCTTAAGCAATCGTCCAACCTCAGCCTCCCAAGTAGCTGAGATGACAGTAATGAGCCACCATGCTAATTTTTTTTTTTTTTAGAGACGGAGTTTCAACATGTTGAGCAGGCTGGTCTCGAACAAAGTGACCCGCCTACTTCAGCCTCCCAAAGTGCCAGGATTATAGGTGTGAGCCACCGCACTTGGCCTGGACATTACTTATATGTTTAGTCTAAGGGGCGGGATTGGTGGGTCTCTGGATTTACTGTGCCCTTGACTAGCTATGTCTTATTATTATTATTAATTTTTGAGATGGGGCTCACTCTGATACGCAGGCTGGAGTGCAGTGGCACAGTCATGGACACTTCAACCTCAACTTCTCAGGCTCAGGCAGCTCTCCCATGTCACCGACCTGAGTAGCTGGGACTACAGGCATGTACCACCACCCGGCTAATTTTTGTGTTTTTTATAGACATGGGTTTTTGCCATGTTGCCCAGACTTGTCTTGAGCTCCTGGGCTCAAGAGATCTCCCAGCCTTGGCCTCCCAAAGTGCTGGAATTACAGGTATGAGCCATGAAGCCCAGCCTACTTATTTGTCTTGATATCACCTCTACTCTTTGCCAAAGTTCTTGGGCCAGGGCTAAATCTATGGTAAAAGTTTTACCAAATTACATAGTTGAGGGTCATGTGCATGTGTTCTGACTCACCTTTTCTCAGGAAACAAGATGTTGGTGGCCCTGTGAGAGCCCTTGCTTGGTTAAAGTGATGAGGAGCACAGATCAGAGTTTACAGCCTGGGAAGTTGGCTGAAAAGTTGTTAAGCAAGTTAATGAACCTGTTTGAGTTCAAGTTATAAAATAATTCCGACCACTTAAGATTGTTGTGGGGGGCCGGGCGCGGTGGCTCAAGACTGTAATCCCAGCACTTTGGGAGGCCGAGGCGGGTGGATCACGAGGTCAAGAGATCGAGACCATCCTGGTCAACATGGTGAAACCCCGTCTCTACTAAAACTACAAAAAAAAAAAAAAAATTAGCTGGGCATGGTGGCGCGTGCCTGTAGTCCCAGCTACTCAGGAGGCTGAGGCAGGAGAATTGCCTGAACCCAGGAGGCGGAGGTTGCAGTGAGCCGAGATCGCGCCATTGCGCTCCAGCCTGGGTAACAAGAGCGAAACTCTGTCCCAAAAAAAAAAAAAAAGATTGTTGTGGGGGTTAAAAATCTATGCATGAAAACACTTGGTTGGCAGTTAAGCGCTGGCTAGCAGTTAGCTGTTATTATTACTATTATTATTATTATGACTGCTTGGCCAGGGATTAGCTGATTCACATATGGATTCCTTTAAAAACATTTTTCTCCTCAGGCAAGCAAAGCAGATTTACTTTGTTTTTATTAATGATTCACTTTCTTTAGTAACACTTTAATAGCATTTCCTGTACATGATTTCTTAAAAATAGCAGAGATTTGCCCTTGCCTGGCTGGTCCCTGTGACCCCATTAAGCCTTATGTTTTACTTAACTCGGAAGCACGAGCCAGCCACCCAGTACTTGGAAGGATGGTATAACCAGTGCCTAGAACATACAGATCTACTCAGAGGAAGCTCATAGCTGTAGCGGTGGGAACATCCAGTATTGGAGCTGGAAAACAATTCTGTCAAGTAAGCATAAATAGACCACACACCATCAAGACAAGAGGTGCTCTCAGAGTAAAAGGAAATTAAACATTTTAAAGCACTCTCACAAAAATACAGGAGGTTGAGTGTCAAGGAAAGCAAGAAGAGAGTTTACAGCCAATAAAATACTAGTGTTCTGACTTAGGCATCTTGTTCAACACAGCTAGAGTATGGAGTACTGGGGAGGAATACAGAGCAGAGAGTCAGGACACTTGGGTTTGCGTTTTCACTCTGACAGTCACTAACTTGTGGGACTTTGGGCAAACCTTAAATTCTCCCTGGCACTCAGTGTCTCCATCTGTCAACTGAGGGCGTTGGATTAACCAGATGATCCTCCCTCTGGCTTTAACATTCTGCAGTCCACTCCCTTGCTTTCTCCTAGTTAACCTCCCTAACTTTTCCTGCAGTCCATGGTATCATGGCTTATACTCTAGCTTTCTCCTCCATTTTCTTTTTCCTCCAAATTCCTTTTGCTTTTCTCCAGAAACTCTAGGGTTGGGGACTAGGATATGGGTGGTGGTTAGTGTGGATTTTGTTTTTTAAACATTTTTGAGTAATTTTTAAGTGTCCCTAATTTATACTTTTGTTTTTAACAGAAATACTATTTTGCTTATCTGTTTTTATTGTTCAGTCCTTCACTGAAGTTTAGGTTTGTAATTGCCTTTGTTGTCATTCTCACTGTTCTTAAGCCAGAATGAAGACAAGAACTATAATGAATGAGAATGCTCATTTTCTTCAGTTAACCTCTGTATCCAAATTATTTTTGATACAATGGCATACATAAGAATGCTAATGGCGTTTCTTGACACTGGTTATAGTTTGTTTTAAATTGGGACTGCACATTTCTGACTTCTTAAATAAATATGGAAGATTTGGGGCATGACTGAATGCACATAATCAATCACTTAAAACATGCTGAAAATGGAAAATAGTAAAATTTAAAGCTTTTTATACTATATGGTAATCTCATTTTTTGAACCAAAAATTTAGAGCCAAATTTTCCACTGAGTTTTTTTTTTCTGCCATGAACCTTTCAAAGTAAGATCTCTGATACTGACTAATAGCCCAGCGGTGATTAAACTGCATAATTACTGGAAGAGAAAAGGATGGCAGTGCTTAGGGAAGCAAAAGAAATTAATATCGGCTGTGTGGTTTTGGGTAAGTCATTTAACATTCCTGAGCTTAATTTTTCTATAAAATAAAGACCATACTACTACCTGCATTAGTTACCTCACAGATCTTTTGTGAGGATTACGCCAAAATGCCTACCTTTGCATAATAATGACAGCTCACAAAATATAACTGAAACATAATAAAATTGATGCATATGAAAGCACCTTTACACATTGTTCTTTCAAAATGGTCACATTATACCATAGAACTGTAAGGAATTACTGTATTAGACAAGGCATTAGTGGTCCTCACTTCTCCCAAAAGATTGTGCCTGTTGTCCCACCTGTCTGACCAAGCTATGTTTGTGCCATCTTTCCTGTTACTCATACGTCCTTGCATTGGTTTCTTAAGTATTTGTGGTACATGCCTTATCTCAACCAGAACATATATTGCTTCTTGACATTCCTTCTGGTGCATAGTCAATATGAATGTAAAAAGGAAGAGGGGGGCTGGGCGCAGTGGCTCAGGCCTGAAATCCCAGCACTTCAGGAGGCCGAGGCAGGCAGATCACCTGAGGTCCATAGTTTGAGACTAGCCTGACCAACATGGAGAAACCCCATCTATACTAAAGAAATAAGCAATTAGCCAGGCATGGTCATGCATGGCTGTAATCCCAGCTACTCGGGAGGCTGAAGCAGGAGAATTGCTTGAACCTGGGAGGTGGAGGTTGCGGTGAGTTGAGATCGTGCCATTGCACTCCAGCCTGGTCAACAAGAACAAAACTCGGTCTCAAAAAAAAAAAAAGGAAGAGGGGATTGTTAGGGTGTATGACTAGAAAGAACCTGGAGAAGGTTTGAATAGAGTGTTCTAAATGCTGGGAAGTTATTGGATGTTTTTAAGCAGGTGAGTAACTTAAGCTCACCTATGCTTTAGGAAATCAAGTCTGGTGTTCATGAGAATAGACTGGAGGAAGGAGTAACTGGAGGCTAGAAAGTGAGTTTCAAGGAGATTGCCTGGCTCAGAAGGAACACATGGAGAATTTAGGAAAGATGGCAAAAGCAGAATAGACCAGTTGAGCTGTTATTTTGTTGTGGACAGTGAAGAAATCCCGAGTACTTACTAGGTATTTTGTCTGTGTGACCAGGTAGGAAAAACACGTGGATAAGGATTTATCTTTTTTTTTTTTTTTTTTAAGAAACATCTTATTAATACAGTATTTATTTGTCTTTTCTCTGTCAAACCCTGAGCCAACCACGTTCCCCAGGGTACCTGGAGAGGTATAGGAAAAGGAACACACAGGGCCGACCACACATGGGTGAAAGAACTATGGGACATGGAGATGGCTTCTTCACATGGCCTAAGAGGATGAGAAAGGCCACCATCAAGCCAAAAAGCCCCATGGCCTCCGAGAAGGCAAAGCCCAGAATGGCTTAGGAGAAGAGCTGCTGCTTCAGAGAAGGGTTCCCGGCATAACCAATGATGAGGTTCCCACAGTCCCAATCCCAGCCTCAGAGCCGGCCACCCCAACGGCGGCAGCC